TGTTGCTAACTTGGCCATCGGAGAAGTAACTGTTGCTAACTTGGCCATCGGTAAAGTGGCTGTTGCTAACATAGCAGTCGGTGAAGTGGTTGTTTCTCCTTAGTTGTCCATAACGTAACTGTGATAACATATCCTCGGTACCAGAGCTGATTCTAACAACCGTCACTGATGTGGTTGACATTTTATTAAAAAGTTTCCAAGGACCAAATGAAGGTTTTTTAACATACAGTAAGCCCAGAGTGAAATGCAATGTTTACTCTCTTTCATTTAGATACAAAGATTTTACAGATTTCACAAAAAAGTTAAAGCAAAGATAAAAAAAAAAACCTTTATAAGACTTCAGCCTTGAACTCTAAGGATATTGTTCAAGAAGATTAGCTGTAAAATAAAAATCGTTGAATCCTTGAATTGTGACACTAGCACCACCCTCTGGTCCAACCTTATTAAGGTAGAATACTTTAATACCTTTGATTATTTATTGATGAAGTACTAAAAAAGATATGATGCAAACATCATGAATTAAATCTTTTTCCTGTTTTCAAAGCTTATTTTAGCTACAGTTGGTGCCCTCTACTGGCAGTTTAGTAGAATGCAACTCTATGAAACCTTGTTTTTTATTTTTATTTATTTTTTTTTGTTTGTTTGTTGCATTTGCAATTATCATTGTTTTCAAGGCATCCAGCGCTGACAGTTTCTGGTGTGACCACGCTTTGGAAAAGTGTTTTTGTTGTTTTGCACTTTTGACAGCACTTCGGTTACATTCAGTGTTTTTACATTTTGTTATTTAGTTTTCTTTGTATTATCTGCAGGTTTCAGACAATACTGAACTGCTGTGAATATTTTTCTATTGTTTTTTTTTCCATACGCTATTTATCAGTTATTTATATCAAACTTGTAAAGAATGTTCCTGAAATCAATTATTTAAATATATTTTTGTCACGTTTAATTTATTTTCTAGCCAGCGTTCTTTCCTTTTTCTATTTGTTTTTATCGGAGGACAGAAACTTTGTAATATATGTTTGAAACTGATTTGTTGTAATTTAAGAATGTAGACTTAGCCTCTTTGGGAGGAAAATGACCCATTTGTTGGTAACCGTCAGCTCCTTCTCCTCCCTCCTTTTCTGTGCTCATGAACACTCAGAGCTCACCAAACATTCATTGTGTAAATAAGCAGAGTTTCCTGACAGCTTATTTAAAAAAAAAACAAAAAAAACAAGGGGATTCCTGTTCTTAGCTTTGACCTCGTATGGTTGTTTGCATGTTCAACATTCGTCTTTTCTTTGCATGTCGCTGTTAAAGATGTTCACCTGTTCCCTTTTTCTGTCTTGGCTCTTATGCATTTTTTTACTCAATCTGTTTTCATTAGTTTAACCTTCAGATTTTTAGTTTTTCCAATGTATTATTTTTGCCGGTCTTCTTCCTCGTTCCCTTTATATTTGATTACTGTGTGCGCACGGTAAACTTGCAAAGCATCCTCTTCACTCATCTCTCTCGGAGAAGGACCCCACCGGCGTTCGAGGCGCTCACTCAGGCCAGCTGGGTGGGTCACCAGAGAAAACCTAAAGCAATACCTTCCATCATTCGCTTTTTCTACTGTGGGAATCCAGAGCACACTGAAAGGACTCGGAGCGCTGCCACTGAGCAGGATTACCACTGGCAATGTATTCCCTTGTGATGTTACTGTGAACAAATTCAGTGCTAAAGGAATAAATCTGTTGACTTTGGCAGGTTTCATACTTCATATTATAGTTCTTCATTTCTGTTAATTCAACTGACTTTGAACGGAAAATGGTAGAACTGAGCTGCTTCTAGTTTATGAAAGTAATTGGTCGACGTTAAAGTAGGAAATAACAAAAAGCTGTTTAAAATTAATAATTTTTTTGCATATTTTAGGAAAGGGGAAATGTATAAAAGTTTCAGCATTAAATATCCCACTAAAGGTGCACAGTTACATGTTTTGGCTTTTTTAAATTAATAACCAACTATATAACAATGGTTCAAAACAGAGTCTGCAGCCTTCTGCTCGCATATTATTAGTTTTTGATCTGTTTGTTAGTAAACAAAAATTATGAATATTTACGACTAAAGAGGTACGATAATGCACATGTTCACAGGGATGAACATGGAAGAGGCCTACTGCAATTAAAATAAAGTTTAAGATACAATATGAAAAACAGAAAAAAAAATTATTTTAGGAGCGGAACAGCGTCTGATGTTTCAGCTGCTGTTCCGCTCCGCTCTGTTAGTACGTCATATGCTTGGTTGATCTGATTGGTTTATTTGGCCCGTCTATCACCAACATAGGCCAATCAGCTAACCAGTATTTTCACCCCTTCCCAAAATTACTTCAACGGAAGGTTTCCAGATGGATATGCGGAGCCAGGTTAGGTGGCGGGTGGAAGTGGATGTTAGAGTTAAACAGGTATGTGGTACAAACTTTCTCACCAGAATAATAGAGGCAAACATATTTTGCTGGCAAGTTTCAACATTATAAGTTAATTTAGGTCTGTGTCTGTCTCCCTGTCAGTTCCACAATCAGCTTCTCTAATTGGTTGATGAGGCGCATTGAGCAACAAAAGTAACATTTTTCTAACTCCAGTAGCTGCAGCGTGTGAAGCACGTCATGCACATCAGAAGCTCATGAGGTGCTTCAGCTGCTCTAGACATGCTGCAGGACCTTTTGATAGCGCCTTGATGCACCTCAACCATGTAAACCAGCTGCTTCTGCTGCTTAAAGCACGTTAGGTGTACAATAAGTTTATTAGTTGCCATCTGGCTTTCTGGTCATTCAGCAGTACTCCCAGCAGGTGGCGCTTTTTGTCTTTTTATGTCTTTTCATTGCACATGGTGCTGGAATTATTTATTAGGCTCAAAAAGGGTCTAAACAAAATCAGGACCTTGATGTATGAAATCTTATTTTATCAGGATCATATCGCTTTTCTGGTACGTTTTGGAAAGACAGAATGTGTCTATGCACTTAAACTGTCAATAATTTTAGGCTGTAAATCATTCACTGAACTCTGTCTCTAGGTTTAACTGTTTTAACAATTGCAATGATCTGGTTAAAGTTATAATTCAAAGTGGTCAAATAACAGTTTGACTCTTCCAGATTCCTCTACTTTTGCTTTTTCTGTCAGAGATATTCCAAATAAAACTTTTCCATGAATAAGATGAAATAAACATATTCACTAAGGAGGAAAAAGGATGAAATAAACTTTGATCCATGTAAATAAAGTAAATTCAACCTTTCTGCGGCCATTTTTTAGACTGCTGTGTTTCTCAAATAGGATGTGAAACCATCTGACCTTTGACCTTGTGACAGGAAACCAACTGACCTGAATAAACTGATTCTGCTTAGAAGGAGTGACGGCTGCAAGATGGCTGAGCTGCAGCTGCTTATAAGGCTGCATGTATCAGAGATGGGCAATGTGGCGTCAACAAGTCATCTCCATGTCATGTATTTAATCTACCCAGCCAATTAACCAGGTGAGTCCAATCTGCACAGGTTAATTCACGGTGAAGATTGGACTCACCTGTTTAATTGGCTGGGTAGATCAAATACATGACATGGAGATGACTTTTTGACTCCACATTGCCCATGTCTGGCATGTATACATTTAAGCCTGAGTGATTTTAATCATGGCGGCTGTTCAGTCATTAAGGCTGAAGGGAATACTGGAGGTTAAAATGGAATTTTCCCCTCAGACTGAAGGCCAAAGACACATGATGCGTGTTTGAAGTCGGCTGTTTGTGCAAAAGGTACCAACCAGGAGACCTGAGCAGATCTTCTACCCTCGACACTCAGCATGAAGGTGGTAAAGTCTATCGATCAGCGTCGTCTCCAGGTGTTTGAGAACTGGCAGGTCCTGGTCCGGTCCCGATCCAGGCGGCGTCGCTGAGCCTGGGGAGAAAGATCCCTTTCTGATGGTACCGAGTAGCAGGCGGTGGAAGTCCTCTCTGTCCAGGAGCTGGTCCATGTTCTGCAGGAAGAACCCCTCACAGAACCTGCAGAGTTCAGCTGCTCCATGGTGCTGCAGACAAACGCGGGCGCTTTAGACATACCATCGATTTGGCCCATCTGACAGGTTTAAACCAGTTTTATATTTGGAAATCTCCTCCTCCTCTCTGAGGTTAAATTCAGCGAGGAGGAGGGGTCATTCTGTCAGTTTGAGGGTTCTGATCAGATGGTTGCGTTTCTGTACCTTGGCGGTCTGATAGACGCTCACGGCATTATCCAGAGTCAGACTCTGAGACAGCATCACCTCACAGCATCTCTGCAGACCTCGGAGTTGGAAGAAAAAGGCCACAGGCAGCAGCTGCAGAACAAAACATTAAAGATAAGCAGAGATGACGTCATCAAACCAGCAGGTAGACGATCCACCTGACTGACTCACTTCTCTTTGAATTGGAAACAGAACAAGAAGCAACCAGCTGTAGAACTAAACCTTTCTGTATTGATGGGGGATTTGGATGAACTCTCTGCTGGTTAATCTGTCTCCTTGAACTAAGAAGGTTTTGGGTTTGAATCCAAGTGACTGACTGCATCTATCAGCAGTTGATGTAAAATCAGCCCTCCTGTCTGAACATCTCTGTTCTGGCTCTGAAAGCCTGTGGGTTCTACCTTCTTGGCTTCAGCAGGAAGGATCTTCAGCCCGTCGGTTCCTCCACAGTACAGAGACCTCATCACCATCTGGAGGAGCAGAGACACAAACCTGTTTATCACCAAACCAGTCAGGTCTGACCCAATCTTCAGGAACCAGAAGTCCGATTCCCACCTGGAAGGTGCCGTACGTCATTTGGCTGATGTGGATGATGTTGTCTGGCGAATCTGCCAGCATCTGCCGGAACCTGACGGGTCCAAAAATACACAGTAAGTTCCATTTGAAAGAGTGCAGATGTTCCGGACCGGCTCAGAATCTGTCCTCTGTGTGAACCAACCGTTCAGAGGCGGACATCAACAGCACCCGATGAGCGAAGAACGGACGGCCTTCCACCATGAACGTCACATCTGACATCTCCTTGTTGTTCAGGAAGCGGATATCTGGCAGCAGAGCAGAAACGATCAACTGTCGGCCCGATTCAGCAGAACAGAACCTGCTTCCTGGCAGCAGTGAGGAGAATTACCCAGCTGAGTGGACCGAGCCACGTCCGCCGGTGGAACGGCGGGGACCGGGGAGCCGCCGTAGCAGTGAGACACCAGCGAGGCCAGCTGCTTGGTCAGAGCGTAGTCCTGCAGAGGAACCGGCGTCAGAACAACACGTCACTCAAACCTCCAGCAGTTCTCATTTCTATTGGCTTCCTTTGAAAAAATCGCCTGATATATTTGGCTGATCTTTTCTTCCACTGCAAAGTTATTTATTTATTTATTTCACACAGGTTTAAATGGTTTTATGTGTTTTAAAAATCAGATTCAAACATTGAAGGACTCCTTTGATCTCATAAAAATTTTACCTGATTTAAATACAAATTGGTCAAAATCAAAAATGTGTATTTTAGGCTTTTTAAAGATTGATAATGAGCCAGAAAACTGCAATTGTTGCACCGCTGCTAAACAGTGACTGGTTCCCAGTGGAGGGGAGGAGGCCTACCCTGCTGGTGGCCAACAGGCTGAACAGGAAGGGGATCCCTGCAGACAGCAGCTCGGGGCTGAAGTCCTCCGTCCTGATGGAGGGGAAGTCGCTGAGGAGGCGGAGGGTGACTTGGTTTCTGCCGAGCTGCTGGGCCCTGCGGAGCGACTCCAGCCAGGTGTGCAGCTTCCAGCGGACGCCTGGTCAGAGCACAGAGACGAGAGCAAAACAGGACTTTCACTGATAGAGATGACTCAGCATAAATCTGATCCCTGCATCCAAGAAGGTTTTCTTTTTTTTCTTCTAAATTATCACAGAACTAAATTAAGCTGCAGCATCAAATACTCAGCCTGTTTTTCTATTAAAATAATTAAGAATTATAAATCTTCTCACTGACGAGCAATTCTTTTAAGTTAATATCTTTAAATCTATTAGACAATATTAAAATAAATGTTTTTTTTTTTCTGTAGAGGACAGGACACGGAGAGCAAATGCTGCCCCTAAAAAGAAACGTTTTATCGCAGGCATGGAGTGGAAGAGATGCCGAGTTTGGAAGTAGAGACCAAACCAATTTTGCTTGTACCTAGTTAACCACATTAGAAAAATCCACAAGGAAATATTTGCTGATTGGGACTTTTTTTATCGTTTCATATTAGATTAAGCACTTGTTACCTCCTATTGTGTTCCAATGAATTAACAAATAATATTGTGCATGCTCTCCTCAAGCTCGAAGGAACTTGGAGTGAAGCTAGATGGGAGGAACTGTCAAGGCTGTAGGCGCTCTGGAGCGGAACGGGGCGCGGTGGTTATGGGGGATGTGGGATTTCAAGGTTAATATACTTAAAGCTAAGGTACGAGGCCATAGAAAGCTGGGATTCCTCTGTTTCCTTTATAAAGTTCCTTGCAGAACACAAAACACAAATTTTCTGCATGAGTTCAGGTAGAAGATAATCTTGGATCGATGGATTCAGACATTTCTGAGCCGATACCCACATACAAACAGTCGGAACGTTCTTTACAGCTGGAAGCAGCTCAGAGCGGAAGGAAAACAGAGGAGCAAACTGACTTCCTGTTGACTGAAAAGGTCAAACTGTTAAGAAGAATGTTGGAAGTTGAAGATTATCTTTGACTTGATTCTCTTCCATCTGGGGCTTTGGGTTTCGTTTCGGTCTGCAGAACTGATACAGAAGTGAGGATGACTAGAGATCTTCCTCTCACCCATCTCTCTCAGCTCCATGGTAACATCCAGGTATCCGTGCTCGGCGCTGTAATACGCCGCCTGCTGCAGAGCTTTCATCGTGGCTTTAGACGCGGAAGGAACCGCGCTCAGGGAGTCCGCCGCCGGATGCCGGGTCGGGTCCTCGGGCTCCTCCACTCCTTCAGCCAGGATCTCCTCTAGAGACAGGATGTCCTCCTTCCTGTGCGGCGGCTGAAGCAGTAGTCTCCTCACGATGTTCCTGCAGAGGGAAAAAAAATGCGTCTCAGAGTAAAACCGGCAAACCCAAACGTCCCTCTGGAGGCGAGCAGCACCTGTGTCCATGAGCTGCGGCGTAACTGAAGCAGTTCATGTCCTCGAACAGAGGGGGCGTCAGCGAGGTCCCATGGTGCGCTCTGAGCAGAGGGTCCGCTCCATGGGTGAGCAACAGGCAGACCATCTCATAGTTACCTAACAGGAGGAGACGATCCTCAACATCAGGAATATGAAGATGAAAAACCGAGGAAGTTACAGAGAAAGTTTCTCTTCTTTCACTAAAGACCTGCAGCTGCTGCAAGCTGCAGCGGCGTTTCCGCCGAGCTCTCCACTCCGTCCAGCAGGACTCCGCCTTCAACGTCGGCACCAGCCTCTAGCAGCAGCTGCCAGAGGAGAGACGGAGTTCAACAACCAGCTGTGGCTCCAGACAGGCTCAAACAGGGGGGTAACTTTAGCGCTCACCTGAGCCACACAGAGGTGACCGTGCAGCACAGCAAACGTCAGCGCCACCCAGTGCCGACTGCCGGGATGAACAGAAGGGTGTCGGAGAGAGTTGGCAGGGACCTGAATAGAAAGGAACAACCTCTGTAGAGAGAGTTCCATCATACCAAGAAAGGTCAGCGCGCCACTACCTGCAGGTTCAGGTGGGCTCCGGCCTCCACGAGCATCTGCACCATAGCTTCATCTCCTGCTGCTGAGGCGTACATCAAAGGCGTCATTCCCTGCAGGAACAAACAATGCAGAACGATTGGGGGAGGTGTTAGCCTAATGAGTTAGAGAAGTGTTTGTGCTGTGAGACGGTTGCAAGTACCCACAGCCTGCATTCTGGGTTCCTGAGCAAGACCCTTATCCCCACACTGTTCCATGCTTAATAAAGGGATTTACACTTTCTGCAGATAAATCCTCCTCATCAGGTAAAATTTCTAAAAAGTAAAAACTAAATGAAAATGCAAAAAAACCATAAAGAAGCAGGCCTGCCCTCTGCTGGCTGCTAAAAGTAATTACATCTTGGCTGATTGTTTTTGCTGAGGATCAGAAATAAATAAAACTTTTAAAACGGCATTAAAAAAACATAAAAATATACAGCATTTTAAAATAAATAAAACGAGAAAAAAAATGTTCTAATTGTGACTGAGTTTAACCAAGTGCTGAGAGCTTCACCTGCCACCCATCCAGCCACGATATCTCCTCTCTTCATCTTTTCCAAACTTTATCACAGGCATGAAATCTATTTTTTATTTCGTGGAAAAAAACAATAAAGCTGCTGGACTAAATAAACAAACATAGAGGTTAACATGTTAAAACCGGATGTGTGATTCAAACCCAAACCTGGTCGTCCATGGTATTGATGCCATCTGCGCCCAGCAGTCGGGCAGCCTGCTGGACCAGATCTGCTCTGCCACATGAGAGCATCCGGAAGCCCAGGTCCAGGTGGAACTTTCCTGAAGCAGCTGCAGCATCCAGACATTTGAAGGACTGGAAGCAACACTCAGACCTGAAGGAGAACAACAAACATCAGGATCTCTTTGCAGGAGTGATGAATAAAGAGAGGATTGAAGAATCTCTGACCTTAGCTGTCTGGGCTCACAGTCCAGTCCTGGGAGGAGCAATCGGGCTGCCTGCCTGACATCATCACTGTCCACCAATAAGCTGCGGCGATGTTCGGCATGCACCACGGCAACCCTAATCCACTCCATGAGAGGAGGGAGGAGCAGGAACGGCCTGAACGGAGACCAATCATAAAGGCAGGAGGTCAAACACAACGTCCAGAGCTGGGATCATCAGAGGGCAACGCAGGCGCACCGTTCTCTGCTCAGAATCACAGCCGGGGGCTCCAGGTTGGGGTTCTCCAGGGATTCCATGTGCGGGTTGGACAGGAAGTAGTAAAGAGAGCGGAGGGCGGAGGAGGCCCATGAAACTGAGGGCTGGCGAACCGGACCGGCGCCGCCGACAGCAGGGCTGGAGGTTCGCAGACGCTGCATGTGGTGCATCGCTCGAGACACAAGGTCACCTGGAGGACAGAGACACTGATTAACTGGAGGTTCTGCAGCTTCTTCCCACTGATTGAATTAAAACAAACTGTTTAAAAAAAAAGATACAGTCTTAGCCCTTTATGTAAAAAAAGAAAGAAAATTACATATAATTCTAAAGACTCAAATTTTAGTTCAATTATTATTAATAATAATAAGATTTCAGGTGACAAGTAGTGACCAGCTGCTGTTCATCAAAGCATTGAAAAAGTCATCACCATGGCGACCAAAAGGAGGACATCTACTAATGTGTTACAAGAAAGAAAAAAACATGAGCAATAATTATAGAAAGAACTGCAGCTGAAAACAGGATCATAAAGGGCTTTTCCAGGAGCAGGTCCTACAGAGGAGCTGTGTGCAGCGCTGACATCTGAAAGCAAAGGCAATGTTTCATTTCATTTTCTCTGCTTCTTTCTTTATGCATGCTCCTGTCTCCTTGAACCCCAGTCGGCCGCGGCAGATGGCTGCTCACGGGACAGGTCACCACTCGATCGCAGGGCAACACAGAGACACGCACACACTCACACCTAAGGAGAATTTAGAGAAGTTAATAAACTAACAGTCATGTTTTTGGAATATGGGAGGAAGCCTAAATCCTGTTAGGCAATGATTATTTTGATTTCTCAGAGTTGCTGCTTTTGAAGAAGCTTCCTTGTTGTTGGACGTATTTTTATTTTTTTTTTACAAACCGTTTGGAGCTTAATCTAAGATGTTAATTATTTTCAAACTTGACAAAGATTAGATTAAACTCATTGTTCTCTGGTACTTTAGAAACTTTACTTTGGATAGAGCTCATTGTTAGAGGACTGAGGTTATCCTGAGACATCCTGCTATAGCCTTCAGCTGCTGGAGGACACACTGAACATCTTTCTCTACATCAGATACGACTATTGTCTTCTACTAAACACTGACTTCTAGAGAAAATGTTTTATTTTTTTAGTAGAAAAGTCTTAAATATACAGCCGCCTCTATTCTCTGGTTGGATTCAATGAATGGCAGATTTTAAGACCTCAAACCCACTCCGGTTCTCCCAGTGATTGTTAATGAAGTACGGAGGCCTGCAGGGTGTGAAGGTGCCTCTGTGTTCTGGATACAAGCCACGCATTATTCAACCCAAGGTGTGAGGGGAGCAGGCAACCAACAAGGAGGAGTCCCAGGAGGCGGTTGGAACACAGACTTACTGAGCTCTGTGATGCTGCCTACACAGGTGGCGAGCAGCGACTGCTCCAGTGTCCTCAGCTCAAGCTGGATGTAGGCGTCCTCCCTGCTCTCCCATGGTTTCTCAGGAACCTTTGTGTACGGACTGATGTGGGCCGGCAGACTCAGCTCCCCTGAACACACAAACACAAGCTAACATGAAGTTAACATTGGTCTCAGGGAAAAAACAATGTCTTCAACTGTTCCCTTCAAAGTAAAAGGATTTATTGCTGTATTTTTATTTGAAGTAGTTTCTAAAAGTAGATCTCCATGGTTTTTATTGAAGGTCTTTAGTGTTTTTCTTTTGGACATTGGTGCTTGTCCTAATCAGCATTACATTGTTTTTACGAAAATTGACGAGCACTTTTTTTCTTATTGTGAAACAAATCTAAAACCTTCAGGAAGTAAAGAAGATCAACCAGTTTTTTATTACCGTAAGTTTTTAGCCATCCAAAATAGGTGGATTTAGGAAAAAAAATAATTTATACAACCCTAAATACAATGTTTTCTGCTGTCAAAGATGTGAACATGATAAAAATCTGAAATCAAATGTGTTTGAGGAAAAATTAAATCAAAACAATGTTTTACTTATTTTTAGATTCAGTCTTCTAAACTTCATCGCTGCCATAAAAATACAGGTGATCTGCTGGTTAGCCTGAAACAAAGTTCCTCTGCCCCCAAAAAGACTTTCCTGATATTGTTGTAATTTAAATCAATATTTAAACCTTTTTTTTTTGGCCTCCAAACAGCCAAACTTGGCAACAGCCTCCTTAAGCTTTGATTAAACAAAAATAAAAGTTTAATGTATGATAAGCAAAGCAGCAAAAAAAAAAAAAGAAACAGCAGCAGGGGAGTAGAGGCCTAGTGGTTAGGGCATTGCACTTAATCCAGAGGTTCTGAGTTCGAGTTCCACTCCCGCTGTCTGGCTCCCTGAGCTAAGACCCTTAACCCCACACTGCTCCCTGGGCGCCGCACGATGGCAGCCCACTTCTCTGCAATGGGATGGGTTAAATGCAGAGAGTGAATTTCTTTGCGCTGTACTTGTGACAATTACAATAAAAAGCTGAAAAAAAACAAAAACATGGTTATGGCGGCATCATGCTGAGGGATTGAACCAGGTTAGTTTTTAACAAGAAGGCCTCGTGATTAGGGCATAGACCTCGGAATGTTTAGGTTCTGAGTTTGAGCCCCAATTCCACAGACTGCCACTCTGGGTCCCTGAGCAAGACCCTTAACCCCACACTGCTCCCTGGGCGCCGCACAATGGCAGCCCACTGCTCCCCAAAGGGAAGGGTTAAATGCAGAGTAAATTTCTCCAATGTGAGATCAATCAAGTTCAATTATTATTATTATCAATGAGGGGGGGGAAACCAACATGTCATCAGGTGTCTTCTAGAAAGCTGACAGCTTTCAAATGTTTCAGGAGCTTCAACAGAAAAAGGAAAAGTTCTGGAATTATAGAACCAGCGTCTAGAAGATTGATTGAGAGAAACCAGACATCTCCTCATAACCTGAGATTTGGACAAACTTTGGCAACATGGCAGAGAAGAGGGTAAAGATGACTCCTACCAGCGGAAGGTGAATCTAAGCCCCCCCACACCAAAACACACAGCTTGCCTTTCACTTTTCAGGCTTTTATAGATTCCTTCCAAACACGTCGGCTACGACTAGAGGCCCGCTGGACCAGAGATCTAGAGAGATTTATAAACACAGGCTGATCTGTGCTTCGATACCAAACTGCAGCTGCTGCTCCAAAATGGCCGTTTCACGTCTGTGATCAAAATTTTGAGTAACGATTATGTCGCATTTGTCTCTTATTTTACTCAATGCGGGAAAACTTTGTCGCTGTTTGTCACTTCCTGTCTGAGTCCCGACATTCCCGTCAAATTGGTGCGTAGGTCTGACCAAACCGACCTCTGGAGCCGTTTCCCTTTAAGAATCTTGAGGAGCCTGGGTTTATATATTAATTGGAAACAAAATGGTTTACTTCTATGACTCTCTCCATGCTTCTCTGGAGTCAACCCCAGAAACTTCTGGATCTCTGAAAACCTCCATTACCCTAAACCCAGGCAGCCAGTTCACCCAAACACCCCAACCTCCGGCATAAACACACAGATAAGCCTCCATGAGCTTCGTTCTCTGCATGAATGGAGGATTTGCTGACTCCTGATGTTCCACTCAATGGAAACGGTGTCAGAGACGAAGGTCTTTACAATGACTCTGTCCTGAGAGCAAATTAAACACGTTCGCCCACTTTATAAAGCAGAAAATTAAAACCTACATGGCTAAAATTACCTTTAAGAATTTTATTTAAAAAAAAGAACAAATCTGTCAAAACTAAAATAATCAGAATAAAATTATCAAAGGTTTTAGGTCACACGTCTCCAGCTCACCTGGATTTAGTGATGAGGTCACTATAAAAACTGTGGTGAAACTGAGGATCTATTTCAACCATTTGATCAAGAATGACATCATCAACACCCCTACTTTAAGGAAATCAAGTTTATCTCCAGACCTAAACCTTGACAAGGCTGCTGAACAGGTCTAAGGAAGCTTTGTGTGAAAGTCTACAGTAAAAGCATCACAAAAAAAGGAACGCAAAGATTTGAAGTCTTTTAATTTATTAATGTTGCTGAATTTTACAGTTTTATAGTCTAATCTATAAGTCTAAAAGTCCAGTTTGGAAAAGATAACCTGTAGGTTCTGAAACAGATCTTGATATGAAAAAAATGTTAGATGAGCCTTTTTCAAATTTTATTTTCTAACACTTCCATTTATTAAGAAGTTTTGAAAAAAGAAAAAAAGTAAACTGCACATAAGAATAAATCAATCAAGTCAATGTTGTGTCATTGAGGGACCCTCTATCATATTTGGTAGAATAGTTTCAGATCGATTCTCCATTCTAATTAATCAATAGTGTTATTCCCCCTTTTTATATTTAATACACTTTTTTCATTTTACTTCCCATTTTGCCTCCTGTGTCCTCAGAACATAAGTGAACCTTTCCATGTTGAATATTTCCTCCACTATTTTCAGCCATTCCTCCTTTGTAGGAAGTTCAGCTGTGAGCCACTGCCTTGTTATCAAGCAGCAGCTTTATTAGGCATCTATCAGGGGCCAATGGGATTTAGTCCCCACATACAGTCCTAAACCTTTCTTCAGTATCTCATAACCTAAGACCTCCTTTAATAATTTCCTTTATCTGGCCCAATATACCTTCAGTTATGGCATTTCCACAATATGTTAGATGCCCAAACTAATCACTCTTCATCTCCTTAGCTCTACCTTTCTTATACCTTATCCAAAATACTTAGGTTATCCTGTGCTTTTTTCTGCATGTCGGCTGCTATAGACTTGGACTGCTGGAGGACATGGAAACCCCTTTTCGTCATTCCATCTCTATTCTCCCATTCTGCAGCTTCATCTGGTCTGTTCCTGTTTGGCTGTGACTCCATCCTGGAGAGAAATATCAGCTGTGCTGCTGCCATCAACACCTTTGTTTCTAGATGTTGGAGCTTGGCCTGTTTTCCAGTGTAGTCCTGTTTCTCTGATTTTGACTAACTGGATGTGCTCTCTTCATCCTCTGACATGGGAGCTCACTCGAGCTTGTCTGCGTTTTGAATCTCTGCTTCTTTTTCTATGTCTGCTTCTGTCTTCCTGAACCCCAGTCTGCCTCAGCAGATGGCCGCTCACACTGAGCCTGGTTCTGCTGGAAGTTTCTTCCTGTTCAAAAGAAGTTTTCCTCTCCACTGTCGCTAGAAGCATGCTTACACTGCAAAAATGGTCTAGAAATAAGTAAAATATTTCTTAAATAAAGTGTATTTAATCTTAATTTGAGATGGTAAATAGGATGATTTGCCAATGGAATTAGTATCTTTACTCTTAAAACCAGATTATTAGATCATATGGGCTTGAAATATGAAAATGCAGTCGTTTTTTTCTCATTTTAAATGTAAATTGTCTTGTTCCATTGGCAAAGTGTCTTACTTATCTCCTCAGTTCAAGAAAAAATGCACTTATTTTGAGAAAAAATTGCTTATTTAGATTTCAATTTTTTGAGGTGTAGTGTGAGGGATTGCTGAAGAGTCAATGAGTCGATGCAATCAGCTGGTTTTCCTTAGATAGAAAACTTTGAATCAATCTGACTGGATGATCTGGTTGAAGTGTAAAGTGCATTGAGATGACGTGTTGTGAATTGGAGCTATAGAAATAAACTGAGTTGCATGTGTATGGTCTGCTCCCTTCGGTCCACCCTGCTGTGTTTACAGACTTAAGCTGTAAAAGCAACCATTCATATAGAGAGGAGTCTGAACAGGACAAAGCACAAATCAGTGTTTTCTGATCCTTACCTGTGTAGTAAAACAAGGAACCGCACTTGTCCACACCTCTGCTCCTGGTCCAACACAGACCTCCTCATACACAGAGCTACCAGTGATTAAGTAATTTCCCTGCCGGTGTGAAGCTGCTCAACGAGCCCAGAACCCGCATCCTCAGACATGCTGGGGGGGTGGAAGGGGCAAACAGAGGCTCAGTCACTGAGTCTGGAAACAACAGGCCTTTTCTGCTGTGTGGCATAAAGCCGGGAGTGTTTGGCTGCAACAACGGACCCAAACAGGTCGGGGTCACCTGAGAGCAACAGCTGGGTCCATCAGGACCAACCAGGTCTGGTTACGGTGGCAGGAGTCCAAAATAATCCAGTATCTGGCTCTGGTCCCACTGTCTGAGCCGCAATCGCTTAGAGATTATAATAATGTAAATCATCTTACTGTAGTGGAAAATTGTCTCTGTTCAAATCAAGGGAAATGTTGCTTCTATTTTTAAAGTATATCTATTCTGAGAGGAGGTAATAATATTGTAAAGAGGTCTAGTTGGAGTTGCATCTTGAAATTGACTGAGAACTTAAGAAGGGAGCCAAAATTAGGGTTATGGTATTAAGATCTTCCACTTACACTCACCACCAAACATTAATCCTCAGGGTTAGATGTGGAAACACTTAGAAGTGTGATAAACTATTAGATAAAGAGCAAAAAGATGAAGGCAAAGTTCAAAGAGAAAGAATTGACTAAGACATTCTTAAGCCTAATACAGGAATGATTTCCATAAGACTACCAGGCAGTCTGAGGTCCACCAGAAC